CCCAGGAGGCCCAGGCAGCAAGTGGACAGATGAGACGGCCGGGCTTGCCTGCCCAGACAGCAGGAAGCTCCCCCACCCCCAGGAGAGAAGCTGCGTGAGGCAGGGCAGGCAGGAAGCCGGGCTCCATCAGTCTCTGTGCCTGTCTCCCCGCAGAAACAGCTTGCTGACTAAAAGCTGCGGCGAAGGAAGTGCTGTCCGAGCTGCTGCCCGGGTTTCCGTAGCGTCCTGGGTGGTGCACACGCAGTGCAGGGCCCTGCCCTGAATCCTGGAGAGCCACACTTCACAGGAAGCTGCACGCAGTCCCTTTTCACGCTTTCTGTTATCAGCAAGGCCTGGGAGATATTAGGACCTGGAGCTCCTTTCAGGCGGTGTGGACTGTGTCCGGAGGGGGCAGTGACCACAGTGGGGTGGGGTGGGGTGACAGCTCTGGGATTAGGAGGGCGGTGACCACAGTGCGGTGGGGTGGGGTGACAGAGCAGGAGGATGAGGAAGGCGCAGGGAGGGACAGCTGGGTCAGGGCTCTGTGCCCAGAGGCCACAGATGTTTACCAGACACCGTGAACGTGGGAATTACAGCTATAGCATAAGGAAAATTTTATGTAACTTGCAGGTTATCGTGAGTTCCTGTAATCTTATTTCGCACGTCGTTCTCAGCCGTGTTTCTGAGGAAGCTCAGTTCCTTAAAGGAGTGCAAGAGGGGGAGTGCGGTGGTGGTTGTGTCAGGAAGCCTGCTCCAGGGCACAGGGCCTGCCTACCGCCAGGGCTCGCTGGAGGCGGCTTGCAAATCCTGTGTCTGGCCCTTGGTTCTGTGCAGAGGGCCCCACTCCCTTTACCTGTGGGCAGGTGTGCTGCGCTGTCACATCCCATGATATTTGGGATGATATTTGGGATGATATGTTGATTTTTTCCCCCATTTTTTGTATTTGGTCCAGGGTCTCACTACTGATTCTCCCGTTTTCAGCCTCCCCGGAGCTGGGATTACAGGCTGCGTCACCATGACCAAACCCATGACCAAACTCAGCGGCAGGCTCAGCAGCCCCCCAGGGCGGGGCCGGCACGGCATGCAGATGAGGTCAGGTGTCAGTCCCTGCACTTGATTTGTTGATTTTTCTTTTTTCGTGTGGTACTGGGGATTGAACTCAGGTCCCTGCATTTGCCAGGCAAGGGCTTATTCTACTGAGCTGTCTTCCCAGCCCAACATGTTGATTTTTAAGAACTGCTTTTAAGGGGCTGGGGAGATAGCTCAGTAGAGTAAGTGCTAGCCTGGCAAGTGCGAGGGCCTGAGTTCAATCCCAGGTTCCGCAAAAAAAAAAAAAAAATTGCTTTCAGCGAATTCCTAGTCGCACCTCCTTTGGGCGCTGCAGTAACATTTAACTTGAAAGTGCGTGCATACGACTTAAAAAGTCAGTAGGCTTGAAGGCGTGTGAAGACCAGCCGTCTCCTTCTGCCCCCTTGCGGTGCTTCTGTGGTTTCTTCTTGGAGTTCCCTGAATGGCTCTGAGAACACACTGACCCTGCGGCTTGCCTAAGGCAGAAGCAGCCCTTTCAGTTATGGTAGAGAACCCCTGGGGCAGCTTCGTCTTCCAGGGGAAGGGCAAGTGTTAGTGGCACGAGGGCGCTGTGCCATCTGGGGACCCGTAGGACAGTCTTGCTCAAGGAGTTAACTCCTGGCCCGTGTGTCAGCTTGGGGTGGAGAAGCCCCGTCGTGAGCTCCAGGCTGCTGCGGGAGCCACAGCGCTTGCCAGTGCGCGGTGCGAGCATCGAGCGCCGTGGAGCCGGACGTGTGTGGCCTGTGGGTCCTTGCAGGCTTTGTGGCTTTCCTGCAGTGGCTCAGTGCCCTGTGCCCAGTGGCTCCATCTGCAATCACACACACTGCAGTTCGTCCCTCCTCTGTCAGGATAGTGGAAGACTCCTGACTCTCTTTCCTGGACCCTTTCCATTCCCCAGACCCCAGGGCTGCCCTTGATTTTTTTTATTTTTCGCTTCTCCAGAAAGGCCGGCCTGGAGGCAAACTCCTGAGCCCTGCACGTGGGGGCGGGACCTCGGCGTGCGCTCACCCTTGGCTGACGCGCACTTGGGTAAAGCAGGTAAGGCCGGCCTGGGAGAGGCGGCTGTGGCTGAGGAGCGGGCAGCCCGGCCCAGTGCTGTCCCTCTGTGTGACCCCCTTCACCTTCTGTCCTCCTGTTTCTCCTGCTGCTCTTGGGATGGCTTGCTCTGCATCCGCTCCTGAAGGTCTTTGAATCCAGAGCCACTTTCAGTGAGAAAATGATATGTATTTGACCAATAATTTCTTTCTATACGTTTTTTTTCCTATGGGTAATAGTTGGACATTTTAGATTGATTTTTTATAGTTTTAAAAAATATTTTCTGGGATGAGGAGCTCACTTGACCGTCAAAGTGCCTACCTGGCAAGCACAAGTACTTGGATTCGATTACTGGTACTGCATGCCATTCTGGCTACCAAAATCGGGCATGGTGGCACACGTCTGTAATCCCAGCACTGGGGAGGCTGAGACAGGAGGATCACTATGAGTCGGAGCTGCATAGAGAGATTCTGTACCAAATAAATAAATAAAATATTAAAAAACTCAAAAAATATTTTTAATATGTTGGGAGCTTTCCTTAACTTTACCCAAACTACCAGCTAAAATTGCTTTGAAGGTCAAGGGAGATAGCTCCGTAGAATAAGTGTTTGCCTGGCAAGCACAAGGTCCTGAGCTCAATCTCTGTTGCCAAAAAAGTAAATAAATAAATAAATAAATAAGCGAATAAAATTGCTTTGTTTCGGCCAAATAGCTCAGCGGATTAAAGTGCCTGCTTAGGCAGACGCAGGGGTAGGGAGGTCGATCCCCGTGCCTGCCTTGCCCACCCCCGGGGCACGTTGCGATTGAGACTGGGCATGGTGGCAGGTGCCTGTAATTCCAGCGCTTGGGAGGCTATAAACAGGAGGATCACTATGAGTCCAATCTCTGCAGTGCAACCCTGCAGACCCTGCCCTAAAAATAAAAAAAAATTGCTTTTATAAAAAATCCTCTCCCTCCCTTGCTCTCCTTCCATCCCTCTTTCCCTCCTCCTTCTCTCTGTCTCTGTCTCTGAACCCCCCCCCCCCAGCCTCAGGATCTCACTTTGTGGTTCAGGCTGGTCTTGAACCCTCAGTGGTCCTCCTGCCTCAGCCTCCCCAGTGCTGGGATTATGGGCGTGTGACAGCACTTCGGGCCTAACATCTTCCTTCAGCAAGGAAGATCCTTTTAATTTATAAGAATTCTTTTTGTCTTTTATCCCCCCTTTGCAGCATCTTATCTTTGATTTGTGGACACTCTCTGAGGGTCTCTGTTAGATATGTTTCCTTTTTGAAGTTAGTTTTGGTCACTTGCATGATCTTCTGAGTTTAATCTCTGTTTTTTGAAGTTTGCATTATAATGGGGCAAGTCCTCCCGGGTTGGCTGACTTGGGGGAAGGTACTGTCTGCTTGGGAGGAGCGAGGGGGGCTCGCTGGGGCTGGGCGAGTCCCAGGGTTTCATGCTCAGGGTTCTTTGTCTGCTGCTGCTGACCAAACCAAGGGAAAACATTTATTTTGGTAAAAAGGCAAAAGGACTTAAAGCAAGCTCCGAGGAGACAGAGGCGCCTCAGCCTCCCCAGCATCTCAGGTGGGGGACAGGTGGGCAAGGCTCTTGTCTAGCCAGGAGCACAGAGGCGGCCGCACTGGGGACAGGACGCCCTCAGGAATGGTGCTTGCTTCGCCTCTAGGCCCAGCACCTGCTAGCCCGCGTACTCCTCGGGGCTGGCACGGGTGGGGAGCAGGTGCCTGGGCCTGCGGTCCTGTGGGGAAGCTGCTGGTCCCTGAAGGGCCCTCTCACTTCCCAGGGTCCGCCCCCCAGCCTGGCGCCTCCACTCTGGCTTAGTTTGCTGCCCACGTGGTAATTCCAGGTTCCTGCCTGTCTCGGGGCTGCTGTGGGGTCGGGGTTGTGGCCTGTGTGACTCAGGGGCCCGAGTCCCTCTGTCCTAGGTGGCTCTGGCTGTGGCGAGCTCTGCCTGCCCCTCCCCCCTCCGACGGCTGTCATTAAGTGGTGGGGAAGCAGCTTCCTCCTCTGTCTAGCCATCTTCCCTCATCTCACACACCGTTTGAAATCTCATTAGACTCCAGCTTGGGTTGAAATTATGTACGCGAGTTCCAGCCTTCCCAGCCAGACGCTGTGCCCTGGCCGGACGTGATCTTATTTACCCTCTGGTCTGAGGACTTTTGGGAACGTGGCGGCGCTTGGCCAATGTCTGTTAATCAAAATAAATCAAATCTGGGCTGTGTGCACTGGTTGTGGTCTGGGATCTGGGACCAAGTGGCCTGGCTGCCCTCCCCCTCGCACGCCCAGCAGGAGGCAGCTGGCTTTCTGGCTGCCCCAGGGCCGTCTTACTCTGTAATTGTAGAGTTACAAAGCTCATTTTAGCAAAAATAGTCAAACAATGTGATTTCTTTTGTTTTGTTTCCAGTTTTGATTGTTTCCATCAACTCGAAGGTCTGAGGCTACACAGAAAGTTCTGCTTCCAAATATTTATTGGCAGGACGGGAATCCCCTGGCCTCTGCCAAGTGCAACTAGCTCATGGTTTTTGTTCATTATATTGATATTTATGAATTAGTCTTGTGGGCTTGGGGCAGCCGTCATGCTGTGTGGAGGGTCTGTGTGCAGTCAGGAGGAGTGACTGTGACCTCAGTGTGCCCCACAGCAGTAGGCTTGGGGCCTCTCTAGACAGTGCCAGCGCATGGGAAGATATTACTGTGTGTGTGTGCATGCGTGTGCGTGCGTGTGTGTGCATGCATGTGATCGTAGGCACTGGCAGCTTCTATTTTTTTCTACCCCAGGAAATTGGGGTGAAGGAGAGAAAGTGCTCAGATCGGGAGGACCATGCCTGAAATACCCGGTCTGTCACTCAGCCCTCCCTGGCCAGACAGCGTCCTGCCTGCCCCACCTCTGCAGTGTGGAGAGCGGAAGAGGCAGGGAGCCCACCCAGCCGTTTGCCTGACAGCCCCGTGTGCTCTTTCTCGCAGCTCAGAAGTGACCTGCAGCTCCTGAGGCGCAGGTGAGGGAAGCTTGGACCAGACCCGTCCTGCTGCAGGCCTCTTCTGGTCCTGACACCAGGAACCGCAGCGGAGCTTGGTGGTGAGCCGCTCTCCAGCCCTTCCGAGGCTCCATGCCTGTGTCTGTGGGCTGTGTCTGTGTTTCAGGGTTGACTGTTTATTCGGGACAAGTTTATCAGGTGCCTGTTGTGTTGCTGAGTAAAGGGAGGGCATGTGAACACCGCGGAGATGGCCTCTCCTGTCACAGAGGCAGCACCCCGAGTGGCTGCAAGGGCCGAAGGCCGGAACGTGCTCAGTGCGAGAGCAGCGGGGCCTGGGGCTGCCCCTCAGGACCCACGGTGTGCGCTACAATAGGGAGGTTAAATCTTAAGGCTCCTGCGGAAGCCATAGGAGGTCTCTGGAGTATTGAGCAGAGACCTCCTGTGTGGCTGGCGCCTGGCTGCCCTGGGGTGCAGGTCACTGCAGAGAGAGGCCCCCGGGTGGGAGGACCCGCCCCGTCATGGTAGAGGGTGAAGGGACCCAACAAGAAGTGCAGCTTGGCCTCCGAGGCTCAGTGTGGGGCTGAGTTGGGCTGGGGGACCCCACCTCATAGTGCAAGAATGGCTGAATGAGAATGGAGGAGACCCTCAGCCAGGTCACACCAAAGCAACTGGGGGTCTGAGTGTGGCTAAGCAGTGCTGAAGCCAGGGCCACACCAGCAGGTAGTGGTCAGGCCTGGGGGCAGAGAGAAGTCACTCCTGAGTGACGGGCTTACTCTGAGGCTTCCTGAGTAGAGGCAGGATGAATAAAGGGCTGCGGTGTGAACGCTGGCTGCTAGGGCTGCTCGTCTGCCCTGTGCTTGGAGGCAGAAGGTGGGCCCGCAACACCATCATGTCTCTGCTTAGTGCAGCGTTGGGGTGCCTCTGGTGGACCCCAGCTGTTCTGAGACTCAGATTCTGGTCCATGGGGTGGTGGGGAGTAGGGAGGATGGATGTGACAGTGGTGATGCTGGGGGTAGTGGCGAAGGTGTCAGTGATGATGGTGCTGGTGCTGGTGGGTGGCAGTGGTGATGGTGGTGATGATGATGGTGGTGGTGGGGATGGTGGTGGTGGTGGTGATGGTGGGGATGGTGGGGATGGTGGGGATGGTGGGGATGGTGGTGATGGTGGGGATGGTGGGGATGGTGGTGGGGATGATGGTGGTGGTGGGGATGGTGGTGATGGTGGTGATGCTGGGGATGGTGGTGGTGGTGGTGGTGATGGGGATGCACAGATGGGGATGGGTCCAGGCGACATGTATCTCCTACTCTTTGTTCATGCCCAATTTTTTGGTTATGTTTTACAAATCTGCTTCCCTGGAAGGAGACACAAAGGGTCTGCACGTGATGCTCCTGGCTGTTTGGACCCAACACTGACCTGGCGGCCTTGGTCCCCGTCACAGCGGAGCTGCATGCCCTCACTTAGGGAGCAGAGGCAGCACTGGGGTGGGCTTGGGGAGGGGCTCCGAAGGCGCTTAGTGGTCGTCATTCTCAGTACAGCGCTGCAGGCCGCGAGCAGGTCTCCTCCGGAGCAGGTTTCCATCCGCATGCCGTGCGGCTGTGCTGCGTCAGGCAGGCGGCACCTCCGCCCAGGGCCGCGGGTCCCTCTGCACACGCATGTGTGTTCCACGCGCGTGTACTGCCCACAGTGTTGCTCCGTTCTCTCGGAGATCACGAGCAGATGACTTCCAGGGTTCATTGCTTTTTTGATGTTTTGAATTTTGGCCATTCTGGGGGCGAGAGCTGTGTGTGTAGGGACGCGGACGTGTGAGTCTTTCCTATATTTGGAATAGGTTTTTTTTTTGATAGATTGTTGGCTGCTTGGAATTGCAGATGCCTCATTAAGTTATTTCATTTAAATTTAGCTCTCGCTCTCACTTAGGAAGGGAATGGGACTTTGGAGTTATTGCACCATGAAGGGAAACAGTTAGGAGACGGCCCCTCGTGACTGTCATAGACGAGATGTAGCCGGTGGCGCTGGGGGCTGCGGCAGGGCCGGGCAGGGCCGTGGGAGCCCGGTGGTCCAGATTGCAGGCTCTGGCAGGGCAGTAGCCATGCGTGTCGCCAGTGAGCGTGCTGTGGTCGCTGCCCCTCACACAGGCTGGGCACCTGTGAGGTAAATAAAACTTTCCGACGTTTATCCGAGGACCTGAGCCGGATCTGCGACATCAGCAGCAGCGGGGCGCGGGCGCGCACGCGTGTGTGTGTGTAAAGCTGTCCTGTGTCAAGGGCAGCAGGTGCTCACGGAGGGATCGCGTCTAACAGAGGCTCAGACAGTACAAGCTTACGTCTCTCAGATCCCTTTCCCGCGGCGAAGCCCGCGTGCGCCACTGTGGGTGGCCGTGTTTCTTTCTGGAATTTCCAGTCCTCACACACATCAACACGCCACAACATCTCGATATGTTATAAGGTGGACATGTGTGCACATACAGAAATGGGGCATGGGTGTACATGCGCAGACATACTTCCGCATGCATGTGTTCAAGTACGTATGTAGGCCGTGCCTTCTAAGCTCATTCCTCGTCACTCTCTATTGTGAGTCGGTGCATCCGTCGCGTAGAACCTCAGCGTCTCGCTCGCGCCCTCCCTCCAGCTCGGGGCTGTCTTCAGGTTGTCATCCCAGCGGAGCCTACATCTGTGGTGGGGACTCGGTGTCCAAGTCCACGTGTGGCTCCAAGTGGGGGTTCGGTGTCCAAGTCCACGTGTGGGTCTGGCTTGTCGGACCCCACGTGAGCTCGGAAGGAAAGTGCACTTCCCTGCGGCGTCTTCCTGTCCAGCTGTCTCTTGGTCACCTTTCCATATTAGGGCACTGATGCACTGCTGTGTTCTCTTTTTAAAATATTGTAAGTGCAGCTTGGTTCCTCAGAGCTTGGGTCTCGTGGGGCATATGTGTGCATGCATGTAGCATCCTTTGATCGCCTGTCACCGGCTCCTCTGCCCCCTCCCTCCCTCCCTCCTGCCCGCGGACTCTTTCTGATGGTTTCCATCCTCACCCATCTGCCATCAGATGTCAGGCTTCGTTCCTCTTCATGGCTGAGGCCCCCCTTTGTCTACAGACCACTCTCTCTCCGTCCCTCATGTTTGTGGGCTCTATATGCTGGCTGCTGTGAGCCACGTCACTGTGAACTCAGAGCGCAGGTGCCACTGTAGTGTGCTGTGAGCTATGGGAACACGCCCAGGGCGCCCCTCTTCTCTGGATATTGTGCACTGTTGGCTTTTTTATTTTTACTTTTTGACTTTATTTATTTATTGACTGATTCATACAGGGTCTTACTATGCAGTTTGGAGTCCTAGTGATTCTCCTGTCTCAGTCTCCCCAGCACTGGGATTGTAGGTATGTGCCACCATGCCTGGTTCTGGGGCCAGCACAGCACGCAGCACCGGAGATCAAATTCAGGACCTTGTGCTTGCCAGGCAGGCACTTAAACAGCCAAGCTATCTCCCCAGCCCGTGCTGTGCACTGTTGAACAACCTAGCCTACCCCGCACCCGGCTGAGCCCTCAGCAGGCGTCACCAGTGTGGGCGGCCTGGTGCGCAGGTGGATGTCAGGGTCGTGGGTGGGATGCTCACCTGGCTTTTAGCAAGTGCCTTGTCCGGAGACGCACACGATGGCTTGGCCATTTGCTTAACCTGCCTGTGCTCTCGCTCACCTGAGCACTGGGAGACGCAGGAGGTGGAAATACCAGTGGGCCGCATGTGCACCTGGCGGGGCAGCTTCTACCAGTGGTCGGCACCCTGTGGGTGCCTCAGGCTCCAGCGGTCGTGGGGGTTCGGTGCTGCTCTTCTTGGCCACCCCCCCCACAGCCCTCGGTGCGCGCGTGTGTGCACACGTGGATGCGAGTGTGTGTGTGGGCATGTGCGTGAGAGCTCGAGTCGTGTGCCCACGCCTGCCCAGCCTGACACTGTCACACACAGGTGCTCGGTGAACACTTGCTGCGACCGGAATCTGACCCCGGGCTGAAGCAGCCGGTCCCCTGACCTGTCAGCCTGGCCGGGCTGTGCCTGCAGGCCCCGCGGCTCAGGAGCTCACAGAGCAGATTGCGTGTAGGCGGTGCCCGGGGGAGGGATCAGCCTCCTCTGTCTGGAGAAGGTTGTGGCAGAGCCTGGGAGCTTTTGCCTAAATGCATGTTCAGCGCGGGGGGGGGCTCTCCGGTGTACCTCCCACAGGTGACTAAGGAGACGAACGCAGGGGACAGAGCCCCCAGGCAGGCTTTTGGAGCAGATGGCAGTGTTGCTTCAGGCTCTGGTGCCTGAGGCCAGACGGCGCTGACCCCCAGGAACGCTTTGCCTTCCCCTATGCTTCTGGGCCTGTGCCTGGGTTTATGCTTTGTTTTTTGAGACAGAGTCTCACTATGCAGTTGAGGCTGGCCTTGAACTCACAGTGATCCCCCTGCCTCAGACTCCTGAGTGCTGGAGTTACGTGCCCGGCCACCATGCCCGGCTCGAAGTTAGCTTTGAGGCGCCGGGCTGGGCCATAGCTCCCTGGTGCAAGGCCGTGGGTTTGATACTTGGCACCACAATAAGTAAAGAAATGGATAAATAAATGAGGCAGAGGAAGAAGTAATGATACACAGCGAGCAGTTCCAGCAGGACTGCAGAGTGAGGCTGTGTGACACCCGCGGGTGCTGACTTCCGGCGTGTTACCCTTCGCGTCTGTGGCCCACACGGTGTGCACCTGCAGCGGTGCAGCGAGCGGGCCATGTGGCCCTTCCTAGAGACAGGCACATCAGGGGCACCCCGCGCTCTGCCGACCCGCCCGAGGCTTGAGTGTGTGTGCTGGGGCCCAGGCCCCGCCGCAGAGCCGCCCGCCGCAGGCCTGTCCCCAGCGCCTGGAGCCCCGCGCCCACTGGCTTTGTGCTCTCCAGGGACAGCTGCGCTTGGTCCTGGTGGAAACGTGCTCCCGGCGCCTTCTCGCGACCCGGAGGACTGACAACCTCTGCCCTCTGCGGTTCTGCGGCCCTCAGCACTGCTGTGGGAGGTGGGGAC